CCTCACATTGTATCTAGAAGCTCAATTGCAGTCACGGTTATAAGGTTATAAGTAGAACCAATAGGGGTAACATGTTCCTAAATATGCTTAGTCTTAGTAGAAGTCATCATTGTCTACTACACAAAACATTTATTAGTGTCTGATCACAAAATCAATATTAATGACTACTTCTCAATTATTTCACATAATTTTAATTCAAGATTATTTGAGGTGATAAATAACAAAATTCGTGTACAGAAAACAGTAAACTTCAACTTTCACCCACAATGGACTACTTCACCTATTAAAATACTTGACGAGAGGAGTGTCTCAGTGTAGAGGTGAGTGATCCTTTGCAAAAAGTTAATTGGAAGTAAGGCTGTTCAGATTAATAGGGAGGCATAGTGTTAGGCTTACTTACATTCACTTATCTAGCTAGGGAGCATTGTCTCAACTACAGGCAGTCGGGACGGACGAGGATGTCAAATAGAGTGAGAATCAGGAAGGCGAGAAACATATTCATCAACCTGAAACCAATCTGGAAATCTTCGTCACTCAGCCAGCATCAACAACAAAATTCAGTCGAATTTTCAATACAAACAACGTCAAGTCAGTCAGTTCTTCTATACGGATCAGAAACTTGGCGGGTGGGTCACAAAGAATATTTCCAACAGCCTGTTGCAGACCTTTATTAACAACTGTCTTCGCTCCATACTGAAGATCAGATGGCCGGCCGGGCCGGAAAGAATCACCAACAAGAAACTATGGGAACAAACAAACAAAACAGGAACCAATCGCCAGCCAACAAATATGCAGGAGATGGAGTGGAGATGGATTGGACAGTCGCGGGTGAGGAGACCGCTGGGTGACATCGCGCGTGCATCAGGCCACTGCTCGAGTGGAACCAGGCCGAAAGGAAGCGGCGAGTGAGACGTCCAAGGGTGAAATGGAGGAGATCGTATGAAGAAGAGCTGAAACAGTATGGACTAACATGGATGGTGCAGGTGAAAAGTACAGCAGAAGACAGAAGCAAGTGTAGATGTGCAGCTGAGGGCCTATGTTCCACTAGGAACCCAAGGGAACAATAATAACAGTGTTAGGCTGTGCTTAAACGTACATGGCTCCGGGTTTAGGATGATCAAGAATGCTCTGACCCCGGGTGGAGGCTCACCATTGCACCCCAGTGGGTTGCAACTAGTGACGGCCCCTAATCGGGTGTTCTTTGGCGTATGGCTTTTGTTAGTGGGACGCCTAATGGCCCTCCCTTTAAATACAAACAAAACTTGTCTTATCACACTAACCAACCAACCAACCAACCTTATTCCTCAATGTCTTCATTCATAAACACAAACTACATCCTCGACATTCAAAATCACACTACAAACACCCACACACGTGAACACACGCAGTCTCACACTCATACAATAACTTCTACATCTCCATCATCCACTTCTAAACAATGAAATATCTCATTTCACCACACACACATTCAATACTGGACTACACTCTACCAACACATCTTCCGGCACATATCTTATCCACACTGCATTCAACTCCACCACGTACATTCCACACTCAATATGCTCAGCATCATTATCAGTCTTAGTACTCTATCAATACACCGTCCTTTTCATCCCAAACAACAACAACGCCACCGCCACTCGCTTAGTGTAATTAATCTCACAGATATCTCCTTCACTCTCCAATCCATCTCAACAACATCCAACACAGGTTGTCTGTCTCTCTGCCTGCCTCCTTGTCGGCCAGCCAGTCAGTTTCTCTTCATTCCTTCATTCACAGTCACACTGGAATACTGCAACCAACTCTCAGACAATAGACTTATTGAGTTCAACTCTTCACTCTTATCATAATATATATATCGCGAAATGGCAGAAGTTGGAATTCATGATTTGTTGGAATAAGTCCTAGTGGTTGAATGGTTTACGATATTGTCTTGTAACCGGAAGGTCCTTAGTTTGAATCCCCCAGTGGATAGCTACTACTGAAGAGTCTTACACTGGGAGGAAACAGTCAGCTGTTTAGTACACTCCTTGACTTTCTAATGGAACCCTAACTGATATATCAGCTCATGATCGAACCCCAATCAGATTCCTGTAAGTCAACACTTAAAAACTGATCAGATATCAGGCAGTTTATTTTATTGTTTTGTACCACGCTTGTTGTAAAACCGTAGTAAATAAACCACAAAAAAAGAAATCTCATTCGTCTTCTTGATGTCTCATTTACAATGTGTTATAAATTGTATCCATATGTCAAATGTTATTTTTGTGACACTGGACAAGTTTTAAGGCAGAATATTTTGAAAATGTTCAACAGTCTAAAGATATGCTGGATTAAAGCCGTCAGAAAATGAATGTCTTCACATGGATTAGTTTGAGAATATAGTAGAGTGAGTATTTTATTCAAATGAACTGTCGTCAAGATCTGACAGAATACTTCTAAAATATTTAGGCGCTGAGTGAGGAGTAGACATTTGTAAAAAAAATTCCCGATTTTGTTTCAATCTCAGCGACATTGAAATGAGTAATTCCAACGCTTCGTTCGGCAATCCGGTCCGAATTTCTTCAGGGAAATTAATCGAAATTAATATAAAAGAGGTTTATATATAAAAAGAACATCTCTTGTTCTTAAAAACTTTGTCCAACCATGATTTATAAAACAAATATTAACAAGTATAATAAACAAAATTGTACGAGTTGTGATCAAAATTTGACCTCAGACTTACAAATATTGATCTACCTTTGTTAAACACTTTAAACACAGTGTGTATGTGTGTGTGTGTGTGTGCCGATAAACAGTTGTAAAACAATGTCTTAACGTCTCCATAAGTAGATATAGACAGTCAGGAATTTTGGCCAAGTATTATTAATTAGTGATACATATCCATTCTTATTTATTAATTAGGATTTCCTATGCATCAGCTAACATCACACCTTCATGTCTGTTGAAAACTGTTAGTATCTTGAATTTTATGATTAGACGTATATTTTACAAATTATGGTGTTTAGGATTAGAGTTTAGTTGAAGCACCTTGTCGAACTTATTGCTTTGTCTTCTTTCTGAAGATTGAGCTGCTTTATTCAACCTACTGGAGTTATCAGGTGACTCGATAGCTATGGCCTTAGGATATGGATTCTGTTGCAGACAAGTCCGAGGTCAAATTTTGATCACAGCTCATAAAATTTTGTTCATTATACTTGTTGATACTTGTTTTGTGGCTCATGATTGGACAAAGGTTTTTTAAAAACAAGAAATGTTCTTTTTATATATAAACCACCTCTGTTATGTTAATTTCCCTGAAGAAGTTCGGACGAGATTACCGAACGAAGGGTTGAAATTACTTATTTCAGTCTCACTTATTTTGACTATAAAAACACTCGTCTTATATCCCATCTGATTGCATTTAGTTGATAACACTCATATTATTATTTCTGAATGTACTTTAGCTTATACCGATTTTATTCAAATGTCTAATCATCAGTTTCACTCATGTATATAAATGAAGCAAAATCGTTGTGTGAATACCTTGATATGATTATGAGTAGCATAGGCAAATCCTCCTCTGCTGTGCTCACTGAAGCTGGTGTCCCCCAAGGTGCTTTACTCTCCCCACTTCTCTTTTCTCTCTTTCTACATGACTTACCATCTTCAAATGACATTAATTTTGTCAAATATGCTGATGACCTAACTGTATCTTTACCTGTCAAATGTCAAAGTGACTGCTCTAAACTAAATGGCTTCTTATCAGGAATCAGCCAATGGTCCAATGAAAACGGTCTCACCTTAAACCCCTCCAAATCCCAAACAGTCAATTTCAACTTTAGGCACAAATCTGACCTAAACAAACTGGTTATCACTCACGAAGTGTGCAACATAGATGGCAGTGAAATAGAAACCAAGTCGGAAGTTAAATACCTAGGCGTCACTCTATCTTCTGATCTTTCCTGGTCGTCTCATATCTTAACGATTTCCAAGAAAATATTCCGTCTTACCTTCTACATCAAGAAGTTAAGACATTCTGGTGTAACCAAACCCTTACTCCTACAATTTGTTAACTCCCGTATTCTGCCTATTATTCTCTATTGTTCCCCCTTAGTCTTTCCTGGGCTATTGAAGAAAGACTATACCTTATTACGCAGGATGTTAAAGGTTGTCAGCAGGGTAAGCTACGTGCCACTTAACCAGCTTGTTAATATTCTGGTTGACAGGCACATGGACTCATGTGAAAAATTGGCTAAATCCATTTTATCTGACTCACAACACCCTCTACATTCACAACTCTCTCCTTGTATCTCATCAGGCAGGCAGACCAGAAGCCTATATAGAAAACTATATGCTCGCACGAGAAAGTACAAAAACTCAACCATACCCTACTTAGCTCGTTCGCGTTCTGTGCGATAAAGAAGAAAGCATTAGGCGTGAAACCTTTAACTTATTAAATAGTCAGTAGAACAACTGGATCTTGTCTTTCCAACTCATATCATTGATAGGTACAACGTTTTCTTTCTTTCTTTTCCTTTTCTCTCTCTCTCTCTTTTTCTCTGTTATGTGCTGCTTTGTTTCTTTCTTCTGATTACGTCAGTAAATATGCCAGCATCTACATTTCTAACACCTTCAAACACTCTGTTCAATTTTGGCTTTGCTACTGACATACCAATATGTTGTTCTCATAATGAACTGAGATTATCCTTAATCTATGTAGAATTTTATTTTATTGTTAATTTACTAACTGAATGCAATACTGTATGTAGTGAAATGCTGAGAATTCCATTCTGTATCACAAGTACGGTTTTGGAATAAAGCCATTATTATTATTATTAATTTGTGCTCGAAACGTGGTCGCATCAGTAACTATTACTGTACAACACACTGTATGACTTTATCAAAATAAATTCTTGTCCATAATGGAGTCAAAACTATTTTTATTACTATTATTATCGCTAGTGGGAGGGAATTACATAATATTTTTAAACCTGTACAATCTAAATTCATTTTCAAAACTCAGGAGCAAAAAACACAATATAGAATATGTCATTTAATATTTATATTTTCAATATTCGATTGCATAACAAACAATTTTTAGATTTCATTATTTTGGTAAACAATTATAACTAAATGTATGATTACTAATTACGGACAACGCTCCCGCACACACACACACACCCAAAAAAGGTCGTTATTATTTCCCTAAACGTTGTGTATACGGTCCATTTCGCTTGCGTAAATTATCAATAGGTGGTTGTTGATGACGTGAATAACCCCATGGTGATGAGAATGACAACGCGTGAAGTGGTGTTCTCATGAGGTAGTCTTCGTCTTCATTAGCAAGCCAATTGAGTAATAAATCATTGTGATCAGTTGTTACGTAACACATAATTGAATTAACTATTAATAGTATTAGTAGGAGAATTGTTAAACACGATTGTTTGAAATGGAACTGTGTTTGAGTATTCATCGATTTCTTCTGTGCTTTACTAAGGGGGGGAAGAATTGAAACAAAAGATATGTAAATCAATATAAAATACATAGGAATAAATGCGGACTTCAATAATTTAAAATGCAATAATGTCATTTAGCCGCAAAGGGATTAGAGCCAGTGGTCCTTGAATTGCTAGTTTGAAAGCCAATGGGTCGAATTCTGAAATGACCCGGGCTTTTCATCTTACTTTTCGCCATCACTTAACAAATCAATAAGAGTCTTCCAACCAAAGACTATCACAGGAAGTGATAAGTAGTACTTACTACCTTAAGCCAACAAGAATTAATTTGTACACACCCAACGATGGTTGGCCTAAGGCCATGCTTCAGATTGTTCTCTGTGTGGCTTATCGACAGTAACTCGTTATGAGTGACAGCATTTAACGAATTCTGTTATTTCAATATTCATGTCTGGGAAGGATGCAGAGCTTCTGACGATAGACTTCATATGTGCGATACAAGGATACTCTAGATGTGGAACTGTTTCAAAACTATCATGCTTAAAGTTTCTGGAATTACAACAAGTTCTCCGAACATCAGACACTCATTAATGGTGAGTATGAGGGTGTGGTGGCTATGGGAACAGTTGTGCAAGGTCATGGTTTGTAATTTATGCTAGCTATAAACTGAAGACAAACTTTCGTGTTTCTGAGTTGAGACTGCTTAATTTGTGCTACTGTTGTGGATGGCACTGGTTAGAGCAGTTCTTGGACATAGTCTTCTGTTTCGACAATGGTAATGACTGTTTCTTCGTTTTTTTTTTTATGGACGACCACCAATAAGATCATCTGTACGACCAGAATCTTCTATCCGAGAATATTCAATGTTGAAATGATACCCCCAGCACGATCACCGCCCACCATTGTAATCTATTTGTTGAGTGCATTGGATTAACACTTTGATCCAATCACAGAAATGAGTAGCTTACGGTTTGTTGTCAAGGTAGACCTTATATCGTACAGCATTTTATGGAGCTTGTCAACTTGATAGAGAGAATTAAGAGCATGTAACCAGGATGACTGGTGTGGGTCACAGACGGCATACCTTAGACAATAACCAATCGAAAATAAGCACAAAATAATTTGCCAACTGTACAGAAGGAACACCTTCATTGAAATTCTGTCCAGAGTTGTCATTTTCAGAGTATCCTATTTAGTATGAGATTATAAAATTTTGAAATACTTTTCATTGTCATAATTTGTTTTGATTCTATGATTAATTTTTTGTGGTAGTTCAAGGGTAAACTACTGGTCAGCCAAGCATATGGTTCGGCTTAGATTCCCTGCTGCAGGATTAAACCAGCCAGTAATAATGCTAGAAATAAGGAGTGGTTGGGTGTTAGGCTAGCGATCACTTCGCAAAGGAAAACCCATTACCTTTGCTGAAACGTCTGAACTACATCTTGATGCCTTGTGTTCCATTAGGAACGCAAAACAATGGAAATAAACTCATATACTACTGTTTCACATAACTTTAGTTAAGGTAGCTATTGAAAGTCACCACCAATGGAATCTTCTCATTTGTTAGTGGTAAAACAGATGGCTTCACAGTATTACTAGTCCTTGTAGTTATTTACTCATGAGACGATTCTGGAATTTACCTATAACTCTTCTTAGAAAGTCAGTTTTATTTTCTGATAAAGTGCGCTGACTCATTAGTCTTTGAAAAACACAGACAGAAAGGATTAAGTTATCTCTTAACGTGCTGTCATCTTCACCAGCTTCTTGAGAATAACATGTTTAGGTCAGCAGTTTCAGAAGTAAGTTTTGATGCAACACCAAACATGAAAAATTCTACCAGGAAAAGGGTTACCTGCTATAACCTTATATCTTATGCTTTCTAGTGACTTGCTAGAGATTGGAGTTTCCTGGAGTTCTAGTGACCAGTGAGGTGTATCCAGTTGGAATGACATTGGTTAGTGGTCATACTAAAATATTACGAAATGGTAGAAATTAGAATTAATGGGCTGTCCATTGAATTGGGTCCTCCCAGTGGCCGACCATTCCCAAACTAGTGGGATAAAACAGCTGTCCAGTACTCTCTGTTGGTTTTCAATGGTTCTCTAACTCATGTCAATCAGTAATCAACTCGTATGAAGCAAATCTAACCATTACAAAATTATATCACATATCTGGAGATGCTTGGCTGTAAAGGGAATCCGAGATTATATATATTGCACTGATTAAGGCACTCTACTCGTACTCATACAGCCAGGTGAGGGCTTACGGCGAGCTGTCATCTGAATTGATGACGACTAGTGGTGTCTGTCAAGGATGCCCATTATCCCCTTTTCTATTCAACTTCATCATAGATGTACTAATGGACCCTGAGTGACTTCAGAGACGCAAGGATTGACTTGTCACCAGGGAATAATCTCGTTGACTTAGAATATGCAGACGATATAGTCCTACTAGGCGGGGACGCTGAAAAAAATGCAGAGTCTTCTAAACACCTTGAGCTGCAATCTACGAATGTTTGGCATGCGATTCGCTCCCGCCAAATCCAAGATGATGTTAAAGCACTGGACTACAGCGACTCCTAGTTTAGAAATAGATAGTGAAGTGATAAAGCACGTTGACCGCTTCATTCACTTGGGAATTATCATCAACCCCAACGGGTTGATCTCTGACGAAATCTCAGCACGGATACAGAGAGCTAGTTTCGCATATGCCTATCAGTTTACGCCGACTCTGGCGTAGACGAGACGTTCGACTATCGACCAAAGGGCGGGTGTACTGCTCATCAGTCCGCTCCGTCCTCATTTATGGTTGTGAGAACTGGCCACTGAGAGTGGAAGACATGAAAAGACTAGCTGTGTTTGATCATAGGTGCCTGCGTTCTATCTCCCGTGTAAAGTGGCATAATAAGGTGAGCAATATTGAGGTTAGGCGTCGAGTTCTAGGTAAACAGGGGAAATCAATCGACGAAGTCGTGAAGCTACAAAGATTGAGATGGTTAGGACATGTGTTACGTATGCCAAGCCATCGCCTCCCTCGACGAGCGATGTTAGCGGATATAGGGTCAGGCTGGAAAAAAGCTAGCGGCGGTCAAACAAAAACTTGGCATCAGTCAATGAAATCCACAACAGTTGGTCTTAGCCACGTAGAAAGGTGTAGACTTCCAGGCTGGGGTCCTCGGGACGGTAAAAATCTATGGTTGGAAACAATTGGTGACATGGCTCAAAATCGTTCTCAGTGGCGCAGATGCATCCACTCCATGTGACTTATGATCTTCAATGAAACTGTTTTGTATTTCTTTATTACTCCTTTGTCTCACACCTCTGCTCACTGTTTCTATTATGCTTTTCTTATACTTTCTTCTCTTGTTTCGCGTGCTACACGGAATGTGGCGACTTGAACTTCCGCACATTTGTGCAAAGTTCTATGTCGAAAACAGACAGACAGACAGACATATCTCATCACTAAATTTGAACTTCCACATCACAAGTAGAATGACATTGACTGTGATGCTACGGACTGACAATATCTACAAAATTTGTTTTCAAACTGAATCCAAAATCGCAATTACTGATAGTTAATGTGCTATCGTGATAACTACTAAGGGAAATTAATTTTCAAGTGGCAAGTCCCCTTAAATGAACCTGATTAACCCTTTTATTGTAAAAAATAATATACCAATTGACTTTTAAACTCTTCAACATTGAATAGCACTAAACTAATTGAATTTGAACATAGAATTAGGAGGTTGATTCGACTTATTTTTCCTATAACGAATAAAGATTATAAACACTTTTTTCAATTATCAACTTGAAGTTAGAAATAAAGAGTATGGACGAAATGCAGAATTAACATGGTGATTTCATGAAAGCCATTTAAATTTCTGTGACATTTGTTTAAATATATTATCGTTGATTAACATGACTAATTTCAAGGTCAAAGTCGATTTTCTTTTTGCGATGCTTCAAAAATCACATGAGCTTTCTTTAAAGGAAACATAAACAGACTAATGTTATAATTTTTACACTATTTTTACGGTTGTAGTGACAGGTAATAAAACTATCTATACTACAAATGGGATCGACTTTTAATTTTACTTTGGGGTAGGAATTCAGATCAACTGATCACTGATTTAGTGTGAATGATTTTTTTGAATGAATAAGCTATTTGAATGTATTTGAGTTTTCCAAGTTAATTTCATATTTTACTATATTTGATAAAGTCTGTAAGTACTTTTGCTTCAATAATGAATAAAACGTCATAAGAACAAAGTATTAGTACAGTAAAGTAGGAATCTGTTAATGGTTCGGAGACAGAATATTCGCCAACCATAGCTGACATGGCCTGAGTTTAATTCTCCTTTAGAGGCTGAGGATATCGACATTCACGGATAATACGAAGTATACTAACTCAAGATCTAATATCCACAACTTCTATAGTATTAATTCCGTGAAGACCAAAGACAAAGTAAAACACCAGAATTGACTGTCCAGATTACGAGATATATTTCAGGAGTAAATGGGAGTGAGTGATGATTGCTTAACTAGCTAGGGATCGTGTACGAACGAACGAGCATGACAGTGTGCTAAGTGGCGTGGATGCTTGACCAGAAGCCTTCAGCTAAACAAGTTGACTTAAACAGTGAGGGTCAGCATCTAATGTTCAGTGATGAATGCTGTGGCCAATAATTTTTGGGGAATTATTTACCACTACAGCTCACTACCCTTCTAGTGGGGTTGTGAGGACCCTAAGGCAAGACTAGCAGGAAGTTAAAAAGCCAATGGTTTTCCCATAGGCAAAAACACTCTTCCGATCGGATTGATGTAGTGCCTACCTGTCGTGTCACCTATGCTAATAGGGTGTCTGTACATCGCTTTGTTTATGTTTTTCCGTTAAATCTCGTGCTTTCTTTGCTTCTTATTGAGTGCCTATCTCACCTGGAAAAGAAAACAATAATGCTAAGAATCTTGTTGAGGAAGATGTACCGCTACATTCCCCATTCCTGAGGTATTTTATGCCTCAACTAGCAGCCAGTAAGC